TATTAAATAGTAATAATAACAGTGGGAGAGATATGTTATAATTAAATTAAATTAACAAGTAAATTAATATTTTTTTTTCTTCTGCTCTTTAAATCTTAATTATTTATTTAATTAAATTTAACAAGAAAATGGAAGCAAATACCAAAAAACAAATTGTAATACATGATTTTCGGCTATTTACATATATGGAATAATTCTATTAATAAACTACATGAATATAACAAAAGAATAAAAAATCGTATATAAAGAATTAGAATTTATCTATAATTAATTCTAAGTATACCTTTAATAAAAAACAAAAATCAATTTTTAATTACTATTAAAAATCTAATTAAGCGTATATTTAGTTCAGAATTTTTGGAGAAAAATAATGAAAAACAAGTATCTATAATAGATAATATATTATGAACCCGCATGTATAACAGTTTTATATTAAAATATAGTAGCTTGTTTTTGAATAACAATTGTTTGTTTGATAAACTTAAGTATACAAAATAATGTAATTAATTTTCAAACAAAATAGGATTTGAACACAAATGATTTGAGGTGATTAATAAAAAGACTGTATATACAAAAAAAAAAAAAAATGAAGAACAATTTAAGTTCCTTATATGCATTCTTGTATATATAAAACAATAGTAACATAAATTTAATATAATTAAATAATAAATAAATTTAGAATTTAATTAATATAAATTGATTTTCATGAATTGAATATAGTTGTTTGTCAGAAAATTAATTTAAGATTCCATTTTTGGGAGTTATTATGCTAAATTATATTTACATTCAAACTTCCTGTATATTTAACTTGCTGAATGTATTTACCTTGCTTTAACAGATCATTATGCAGTAAATTAAACTGAACTAGAGTGTTGTTTTAAATCTTGGTATTTCTTTTTTTTTATTAGACTTAAATAATTAATTTCTTGATAAATTTCCTGGAAAATATCCAGGTCCTGTATGGGACACGGATTATAGATTATATTTACTTGTTTTATTTGCAGTATATTTTATATGCTTAAAAAAAATTGCAGTAAAAAAAATATTTTTAAAAATTAATAAGTATACTTACCTACTATCAAAAGTGTTCTGTTTATGACAATTACTAAGATGTTATTTTAAAAATTATGATTGTCTTTCAATTGGAAAGCATGCCATCTTCACAATTCCATTGAAATTTTAAGTTCATTATATATTTTAAATTTTTTTTTTTATTATTACAATTTTGAGTAAAAATAATTAAAAATAATTATATTTATAACTAAACACAATAACAATTTGATTTGAAGTTGAAGGCTTATAACTAAAAGCCACCTTTTGGTAAATTATTAAATCTTAAAAGATCTGTCTCATATTTTGAATATTACTTTGTTTTTTTGGCAGAACGAATGTGGAAAATTTGAATTCTGTCAATATTTTGTGTGAATGTAAACCAGCAAATCTTAAATCTAAAGCATGTGAAGGAAATAAGAAAGTGGTAGAATATGAATATAAACAACAATTTTTAAAAATATTAGTCATACATTAATGACAGCAAAACTTTATTGCCATTGCGACTCAATTTCAACATGCCAGAGCCATAATGATAGTGTGTAATAATTAATAGTTGTACATAAATTAAATTTAATTGTAACAATTATTTCAAACTATTGAGTATGCTTTTTTGATTAAAATACCGCTAACATTACCTTAATTTAAAAATTAACAATTCTGAATCTTTGATGGAATTGCAAATTGTTGCGTAATGACCCCTAATTAAATATAACGCCTAATTATATGCAATTTTTCTTAAAGAATCATATAAAAATTTCTATCCTAATTAATTGGAAAATTTTACAGTATTTTTATTGAATAATTTAAAATGAAATTATTCTCTTAATTATAAAAAAATAATTTTAATAATTCAATAATTCGTAAATATAAAATATATTAATATTAATGGTATAGAATTTTATAAAGTTTAAAAGTGTGAGAAATTTTGATATTTATTCAACAATGAAATTTTGAACAACTCTAAATCGTTAAGAATATTTTCATTTTTTGATGTATTACATAATCTATATTGTTATATTTCGGAAAAACATTAATGTTTATTTTATGTTGTGTGTTTGTACACAAACCATCAATAATTTTAATGATGATATAATAAATTTCACGTTTCATTTAAATCAATTAAACAAAGAAAAAACTGTTTTTGTTTTCCCTTTTTTTTCAAATTATGATATAATTTGTCTTGTGGCCATTAATTATTATTTAAAAAAAAAAAAATTTGCAAACAATTATGTTTATTTTCTTTCTTAATTAATCTACCTCCATATAACGTACAACAATGTAAATTCCCATAAATAAATCAAATATCTACATAAGATTGAATTTCTCAATAACAAAACACATGTATACATATATATGTACGTGCATAAATGATGGTAAAAAGTTATTATGTTTTGTATATGTACAATTAATTGTTTTTTTTTTCTTAACCATTCATTATATTTATATTAACAATTTAGTCTATGGTTTTAAACAATACATAGTTATAATAACAAAAGTTTTCTTTTTTTTTTAGAAAATTTTCATTAAATATTAGTAAATATTAGTAAAAATGTCGATGAAGATGATAAGAGAAAAAAAAATGTAAGATGCCTGTAGATCTTAAAACCTTAAAGCTATATTGAAAATGTTATAACATGTGTATTTGAATTGTGTGTTTATCTATTTTCACATGTTTATTGTAAAAACTATAGCTTAAATGAAATTATAATTTGTTTACATTCATATAATTCTGTTATAAATCATATTATGTTTCTTAAATTTTCAAATTATTTTACATAAACTTGTATATATATATATATATATATATATATATATGTATGCATTATATAATATTATTATAAATCACAATATATATAGAAATTCACAATCAATTCTTTTTTGCTGAACTAAAATTCAATAGAAATTAAGTCCGTAGGAATTCGCAACACTGAAACCAAAAATTTTCCGGCAATGACTGAGATTCCATGATTTTTCTATTCTATTAAAATGTTGTTAGAAATTTTGAAATATTTTTAGTTTTTTAATACAATTAAATTGTTAAATAGTAAAATTTTCATAAAAATTAAGCTGTAAAATTAATTCTTATATAGTTCGAAATCATTGGCTTGAAAAATAAAACGTATTTCTTATTGTTACCACGAATTTATTTTTTTTAAAAAATAAAAATGTCTCAATAATTTTATAATTAATTTAATTGAATTTTCCACAAAATACCGTAAAATTTTATAATAATTCAAAATTTAGAAAAATGATTTTTTTAATTAAAATCGAATCTTTCAAAAACAAATGTCAAAATAATATCTAAATTATGTCAATATATATTTTATATGTAAATTCATACATTAATTGAATAATTATTGTTATTTTGAGCGTTAGGGAGATTTGCCTAAGCCAGTCAGTTCATTTGTACAGACATTCTATGTAAAATAAATAAGAATTACTTTGCTAAATGTAATAACAATTACTTTTGTTAAATTATCAGTTCTATTCAATTCCGAAATTATTTCTCAATAATTTAATATTCTACAAAAACTGTGACTATACTTCATTACATTACAAACTCTAGCCACCTTACGTCAAACATATCCACATGTCAACTCTTATTTCAAAGCAAAATAGCTATATTTTGACAGAAAAATTTAGTAGAACAGTGATGTTAATGTCAAGCTTATTAACTGATAAGTTTTGTGCCCAAATAATTTGTAAAATTTATACTAAAAAAATTTTCCAATTACAAATAAATTTGTTTAAAAAACTATCATTAAAATTACAACAATAAATGAGTAATTATAACCATACGTCACTGTAATTGATCTATAGTTTTATGGTATACTTAAGCGCCTTTTAATTAATAATCTTCTTCTATTAAACATAAGCATTCAAGAAAATTAAAATATTCGAACAATGAAATACAAATATTAAAATATTTTCCTTACTATTTTCCCATATTTGTAAGTATATAGCTGAGAAATATAAAAAAAAAAGAAAAAATATTAAAAAAAACAAACAAAACAAAAACCCTGTCCATTTCTATCTAAAAAAAAATTATATATTAAAAATCAAACAAAAACAAAAATTTTTCTCAGAGCCACTGAGAGAAAAACAAATTAAGATTTGATATTTCTGTAATTTTGCAACAACAGTACAACAACAACATTTTAAACACAAACCAAACAACATTCATCAGTATTCAATTTATTTGCGCTGAATATGAAAATTCTCTCCAAATCAAATCAAATACATAAATATGTCATTTAAAATGATTTTTATTTAAAAAAAAAACATCTTATGTACTAAACTAAGAAAAAATACAAAACAAAAAAAAATAATTTTGAATAATGATTCTCTCAATAATATTTTAAGAGTTGATGGTCCATCATAGGAAAGAAAAAAAATGTAAAATACCAAAAAAAAAACAAAAAAAATAGAAAAAATAAAAACAAAACTTAAAACTACAATAATGAGATGAAGTGGGTAAAAAAATAGAAAAAATCATAATAAACAAAATTTAGTATAAATCTCAAAAATATATATGGATATGTATATATGTATTTGTATATTATATTATCTCACAAAAATAATATAAATTTAATTATTGTAGGTCACGGTATAACCTTTCACTGTTTTTTAATGTCGCGATATATAAATACAAAATTCACTAACAGTTTGATCGTCATTTATAGTTTCATATTCATACAAATTGGTACTTACACCAAAAAAAAAAAAATTTTTAATTAATTATATCAAAAATGGTACGTTATCGGAAGAATAAAAAATTTTTATATATTTTTTTTTTTTATTTTTGTTTTTCATAAATTTAATTTTTAATATCCTTTTTTTTTCATACATTTATTTGGTACATAATATCAATTTGGATTATATATATATATATATATATAGCATAAATTTGGATTATTTTTAATTGGATTAACTGTAATTACAAGCAGTTATGCTATTGATTCAGCAACACAAGGACCAAATCCACAGGATATTGCTACACCAGAACCAGAATATATTGATATTGATTTACCACCACCACCTGGTTTAAATCTTGGACCAGCACCAGCACCACAAGCATTACCTCCACCACCTCCACCACCACCACCACCACCACCACCAGCACCAAAATCAATATTTTCAAATTTAATATCAGCACCACAAATTCATCCATCACCATATAATTATCAACCACCAGTTATTAATAATCATATTGAACCAGTACCAGCACATAGTCTAACAAATGATGGTTATCAATATAAAGCAATAACACGTATTCGGTATCGTTACAGAATTTAATTTTGAGTGTGTGCAGTTGTATATATATATATATATATATATATATATAGGGACGACAAGGGAAGAAAAAAAAATTTTTGTTTATTTTAAACATTATTTTTTTTTTCTTTTATTTTGTTTTTGTCTTTTTGTTTTATAAATTAAATTCTAAAAAATTTTCTAAATTTTTTTTTTTACTAATTTTTTTTTTTGTTTCTTAGTTAATTAATTATATAATAATATAATATAAAGAAGATGACCTTTATTTAAATATTAAGATAAAAAAAATATTAAAAAAAAAAATTAAAAAAAAATATAAAAAAAATATAAGAAAATATAAGAGTAGAAAATGAAAAATTTACATAAAAGAATGTGAAAAAAAAAAACAAAACAAACAACAATTAAATATTATAGAAAAAATTTTTATACATGCTATACAAAAAAAAAATATTACACATGCTAAACGCATGAATGAATTCAACAAAAAAATAAAAAAGAAAAAAAAAACAGAATTTACATAGAAAAGCTACCAACCAAATGAAAGTGAAAATCTCAAAAAGAAATGATAATTAAAGAACAAAAATTGTAATAAAGAAGCCGTGCAAATGTCTCGGAAATAACGCAGGTGAAAAAAAAAAACTTATACACACTAATTAAATTGAATTTTTGATTTATATGAAATTATTTGGATTATAATTATGGAATTATAATTTTTGCATTATAATGCTAAGAGATTATAACTGTTATACTTGCTACTTAATTATTAATTAATTTAATAATTGATTATTGATTTGGTTGATAATTGATATTGAATTTTATTTAATTATAAAATTTTATTAAATATCTTAAAATATAAAATTATTAAAATTATCATTATCAAGTAAAATAATCAATAATTAATTTAATAAATAGGTAATCAATTAAATTTAAATATAATGCAAAATTCATTAATCATGCCATATATGGAAGCAATAAAATTAGAATTTGATTGTGCCTAATAATAAAACAAAATAATTAACTGTTATAAATCAAAATATTCACATATACATAGGTAATATTAACCGAATAAATTGAATGAAAATATTTAATTAACACAAATGTATCATTATATGTGTGCATATCCTGTAAATTTAAGAAAAAAATTTTAATGTAAAAATTTGAGCTTTCAATGGCTTACAGATTTTGAATACATATGTACATATAAATACAAATGATTATCATAATTTATAAATGAATGAGATAAAATCACAATTATTAATTGAAATAGTTCCTTAAGAAATAGAAAAAAAAAGAAGAAAAAAAAATATACAAATACAACATAATTAATAAAAATAAAAAAAAAATATATAAATAATAAAATATCCTTTTTTGTTTTTTTTTTTTTTCGTATTTTTATAGGTACAATTTTTACTGTTACCGGAACAGTATAATAATTTATTATATATTTATAATTTAAATATGCAAAATTATTTTGGGTTTCATCCTAAATTTATGCAACGAAATTGTTAACAGAATATAGAACGAATATAAAAAACTTTAGAAAAAATTCCAAGATTTATGATTCCTTAATATGCTTAGAGTTACTGGAGTATTACAACAAAATTAACAAAATTGTTAACAAATTTAAAACTGTTATATATTCAATTTAAATGTAGATATACGTAATAAGGTACAATTTTATAGAACATAATATAGTAATTGAATATAGCTTTTGCAATTCTAAAATTTCTTTTAAGTTAAAATTTGTTTTTCTTTTAAACATAATATCCTTTAGTGTCATGATATAACAATAGGGGTCTAAAATCTCTTAACATAAATTAAGATTTAAATTTCTGAATATTTATCTCAAGCTTAAATTTCTTTGTTGATTTTCAAGATCATATTCTTTTAGCTATATTCTTAAGTATATAAGATCTTCTGTATTTTAATTATATTAAAACTTAAAACACATCCTTATTCCGGTATTCCTTTGTAATCTTTAATGAAATTATTATTTTTTCTTTGACACTCCTCTTTGTTAAATTACATTTAGTTATCACAATTTTAATAAATTAATTTCTAAATTCAATTCACTAATCTAGTTGTTGCTATTCAAAATATTCAAAGCTATAATTGATTAAAATATAATTATTCATATTTTTCGCATCTGGCCAATAGATAAAATTCCGCATTCAGTAAATTTGAGGCAAATAATATTTGTTAAACATTTCGCATTAAATGTTAATCATTTATATTAATATATATGTGGTATATGTGGTTATACATATTTTATTTCCTATAATTTGTAATGGAACAGCATGCTATTATATTAATATAATTTTGTTTATATTAATAAATTTTGCAAAATCTTTCTTTAATAATGCAATAATTTCATATTTTATTAATAATATATTCAAATTTCTCATAAATTCAACTTTAATAAACACAAAACATGATTTATAAATTTTAATATTTTATTTAAAATTAATACATTTTTTATTGTTCATATTATCAAAAATATATAAAATATAAAAAGTGCACAGTAATTCAATAATTTTGGATAAAAATCTATTGTTATTAAAAAAATATCATAAACGGAACTTTTAATAATATGTAAATTGGGTAAAAAAACTTAAACCGAAAGATGTATGTAATTTTTAAAAATAGAAATAGCTAAATAAAAATCTAAACGTAAAAATTTATTTTATGCGAAAAACTTAAAATTTCAGTAATCAGTTGACTTTGATTGATAAAACGAGTCTATATAACGCACAAAATGATCAACAAACAAAAGAAAATCATTGATTTTATCAAATATATAATTATATTATATGTAAATGTGGAGGACGTACAGATAATTATATATTAGACCAATAGAAGATTATTTTCATGTTGAGCATTGAACGTATAATGTATATACATACTTATAATTTCCTTGATTTTTAAAATAAAAAACTCAATATCAATTTGATATTAGATTAGTAAATATTTAATAGTTTTAATCTTTAGTAAATCTTAACACTATAACTTATTACATAAAAAAACTTTATATGTATTAAAATATAGTAGATATATATGTAATATGGAATTAAGAGTTAAACACCTGTAAAAATTAACAATGATTCTCCAATTAGTTTCCAATTAGTTATATAAAAATTGTATTATCTTAATTAGGTATGGGTATCGAAAGAATGGGATAATTAAATAGTTTCAAAAATTTTTGATCAAAACAAACAATTATTTATGATTTCTTTAGCTACTTAACTATAATCTTGAATAATTAATTATTATTATAGACTTAAAATTTATAATTTGCTCTATATACAAATACAATTTATTTAAATGCAATTTGGATAAGCCTGCTACATGGCCTGATCGATTATATAATGGGTGTTCATCCTATATATCAATAATTAATTTCATTTAAATTTATAAAACATGTTTGTTTACAATATTAACTGTAAAAACGTTTTCACTTGCTTCAAGTTAATTTCCCAAGCAGAGAGTATAGTGCAATGTTAAAGAAAAAAAAAATTGTTCTCCTTATGCTACTTAGTTATAGTTAGGTTTTTTTAAAAGAATTTCCTAATAAATTATTATAAAAATTAAATACATAAAATTTTCTCTTAAATTGTATTCCAGAATAAGCGATTTATGTATTGGAAATAATAATATTATTTATAAGAAAATATTACTCGTATTATTACTTTTATATTATTTTTCTAAATTATAATATTCCACATCAAGCTGCATATATTACATATTTGTAATGATCTGACCCAGATTTAAGAACAAGTGCTTTAAACCTTTCTTATATTATGCAAAAACGCCATTACTCTGGTTTTAAAATTGTTGCTTAGAATAAAATAATGCTATAATGAAAAAAATATATTAACTCCAACACCTTAAAATTAGTTTTTCTCAAATTTGCAAATTTTGAGCTATGCCAGTATAGAAGTAAACGAGGCATTTATTTAAAAATATTTCATTTAATTAAAAAAAATTGGTTGGGATTGAAAAATTTAAAAAAAATTTTTATAAAATTATTAAAATTTTGTTTTTTTACAGTTCTACCAATAGTTATAAAATAGAAAAGAGGACTTTTCAAAATAAAATTCTATAATATATTTCAAAATTACCTATTTTCTCTTACTCTAAAATTTATAAACGAAAACTAAATCTAAGACACACACCAAATATGCGCACTCTAACGATAGATAAAAGAAACAACAATAATTTTTCATTGAAACAAAACGGGAAATGCATGAAAATTTCATAAAATAAAAAATTTATAACAAAAACAATTTGAAAAAGAAAAAAACTGCAAACTTTAAAAAAAAAATTTAATATTAAAGTTGAAAAATTATTTAAAAAAAAATAATTTAAAATAATTTTTTTCACAAAATTCTATCCAAACTTCAGTACCAACACATTAAATTGAGAATTGAAAAATACAAAAATGAAATTCTAAAATATTTTTTGTTTTCTTTTAATTAAAAATTCAATATTAAAGAATTTAAATTTGATTATCATCACAAATGAACCGTCTTTAAAAAAAAAAGAAAACAGGAAAAAAAAAACATTTTAATTAGCATAAAAATGAAATAAAAAATCAATTTGTTGGGTCAATAAATCACCTCATCCCTAATATAAAAAATTGTAGGGAAAAAAAAAAGATTTATGTTGCGCGTTTGCGCACAACAATTTGAGAGAACGAACCTTGTTTGTACAACTTACTTGTTTTTTTTTTTATTATTATTATTTTTTTTTTTAGATTTTTTAAAGATATTTCTGTTATAATTGTGTATGCATACATTATATGTAGATATTTAAAATGAAAATTATTTTTTATATTTCTCGTGTTTTTTTTTCGAATAATTAAAAAAATTTTTTTAATTATATCAACAATATTGTACAATAAATTCATATTAAATTCAAATTTGTTTGGAATTTAGTTTTTTTATTTTTAAATATACATATGTATGTAATTGTAAAGAATGTACGCATGTTAAAATATTTAAGGGAAAAATAAACAGAATTAA